ATAATGGCATATAAAGCCTTGAATGGTTAGATATCTATGTACGTTCTAAAACTTGATGTTTAATTCTCTTACCTGAATCATCAGAATTGAATAATTTATGAAAATTAGCAGAATGATAAAGAATGCTCATAAATATGTATGTCACAGTTTTCTTTTGCATATATGTTCAGCATGGTTGACTTGAACATATCTTTTTAAAATGCCTCTTTGACATCGTTGTTTTCAATGCCAGGAAAACTACACGCAGCAGTTGAAAGTTACAAAGGGCAGCCATTTCTGTCAACACAGGCACATTTGACTAGTGCCCAGCTGTGATTTAGAAAAAATCAAACTCCCTTAATATTCCATAAAAAATAATCAATTTTTCAATATCATTGTCCCTTGATTGCAAAATTTAAATTCTGTGCAAATATTCAAATGTGCAGAATTCTGTTGATGCAGTATTTTAGGAATGTTTTCAAGATATAAATTAATAGAAATTTGACCTTTTTTAAGATTTGAATATCAGTCCCACATGTATATAAAGGTATTTAAATTTGAGGTTTGTGAAATAATTCTTATGAATTAGGAAAAAAGAGGAGAAAATATGTTCCTAATCCCTGGATTAAATAGACATTAAAATCGACTAAAAAATATGATAATTTGGCACACACACATTGATTGTTAAGAGAAAATATTTTTCATGCTATTTGGTTTCAATTTTTATATTTTTATTATAAGTGAAGAAAGTGGGGTCAAAAACCCTCTTCTATCCTATCCCATCTTTCCTACAGCCCTCCCCTTGAGAGATGTGTTTTCATTATAAATAACATGTTGTATATTTTGAAACATTGGATATTAAAAACTAATAGAGACTAAAAAACCTATGTCCCCTTAATAGAAGTGCATAAAAAGGGGAGGGCATTAATCTGTCTTTCTTTATGTCTGCATCTAATCTTTGCTAACTGACCTTAAATAAGGTCAAGGTCAATGCTTTTCTTAAGGTCACGAGCAAACATATTTGTCAAAGGTGAAAATAAGGTCAACCTTCTAAGAATTTACTACCACTTGTACAGATGGATGAGACAAGAATGTTCTAAAAACTATTTGGGGATTTGATAAATCAGCTTAGCTTATCCAGATATAGATTTATACCAACATTTCTCAAAGATAAATTTCGGAAAGATGAGTATCTGCTACTAAGTTCGTTTGATTTTGGGTGCAGATGTTGGCCAATACCAAAAAGTGTCCTCAATTTTGTGTTAAAGTAAGTTTTCAATATTTTCCATACAGCTAATATTTCATGGTAAAGGCTTGTGCCTCAGAAATGATAAGTGTCAAAATAGATAGATGAACATTTTGGATATAAGTTTATGGGGTCGTGCTCTTGGGAAATTGGAGGGAAATCTCTAACATTAACAATAATATATTACCTTGGCCTTATAGTTTTCCAAAACAAGTTATGATTAATTACACAAAACTATTCCCAAACAACATGTCAGGATGGGGCATATAAATATACCGAGTCCTTTACTGGTGTCACTGGCTGCCAGAACCATTTATTCCAACCTAATGTGGCCTTCGAATGGCCTATTCATGCAGCAAGTCTCTGACAGCTTCGATGGGTCAGTACCCAGGGTGCTTAGCTCAAGCATTCTGGTATTTAATTGGTAGAACAAAATGTCTTTCCTGTTAACTGCAATGAAAAGAAATGTCTTTGACCTCAACGCTGCTTTCATAAGTGTCCGTAATATTAACCATGAGTGGAATGTAGTTTGTAACTAAAGTAAATTCAGGCAAAGGAAATGTTAGTTTTAAAGATAAAATTTTTTTTATATTTGTTTCCATTTTTAATGATTTCAATTTAGGGTTTTTAATCTCTATTTATTCAATTTGGGAACTATCTGAATTGCAATTAAAAACTTGTACCCACAATACAACAATCTTGATCGAACTTGATGAAAACTCTAACTATTTCATTAAGATGTATTTATTTATTTTTATTACAAAAAAATTATCTAACATTTTTCACATTTTTAATATCTGCTGCTAAAGCTTCAAATGATATTTATTTTGCATCAAAATCCACTTTAAATGCACTGGGTTAATAGAACTTTTAATTCAGTGGGACCTGCACATTTACTACAATTTATCTTTAATGCACTTGAAAAGGAACTTTGGTCATGACTCTGCATACCAATAAAACATTGGGCGTTCCCTTGATTCGGGGTGGGATGCGTGCATAGATAAATATGTATGGCTATGACTCTTAGTTTTAAATTACTGGTCCATTACAATAAAATGTAAATGAAGGTGACAGCTAGATTATGAATGAAATTTCACATAAACCGTTCAGATGTGTCATTCTCTCTCTCTGAAGAGCTATGTTGTGTCCACTCTTGTCGCAGTTCTCTGGCAGATAGATGACATTTTGATAAAACTGTCTCCTTCAAATTTTAAAGCTCTTTTGAAGTTTGGGTAAAGTTTTGTATACAGACAGCAGGTTTTAAACTAACTGTAAACAAGTGTATTTGGTGTTGAGAATCAACTTTTGGCACATTGGGATATTCCAGTGCTTTTGTCTTACTTAGGGTAAAAAGTATTGATCACAAAAAATCACCAGAAGCTCCACATTCCTGAAGATATTCTTTAACTTAATTTTTTACATATTTGTTTTCTTCCCAGTCCTCTGATTAAGTTTATATTTTACAAGTCTTTTTCAGCAACAATTTATATGTTACTTACAAAACAAACATTGGCCAATAAATATTCATTCTAAGACTATAACAAATGTGTACCTTCCATGCATGTTACATGTAACTCATTTCCAGCACTTGAGGAAGTATCATTGAAATAAAGGGGATGTATGCAGACCCCCCCCCCCCCCTTTTGACATTTTGGTAAAAAGGGAGAGGTCTGTTTTTCATTTTTTTTTCAATGAATACATTGTATTTGAGCTAATAAGTACACAACATTAATTCTTCTGTATTTAGTTCTATTACCTGAAAAATTCTCTTGAGTTCTGACACCTATATTTTAATTGACACTAATTACATTTACACTTTTACTCATTAAGTAGAGCTAGTGTTCCTCTCCTAAAGGTGCTGGCTTAAACCTTAGACTTCAAATTGCTTACACAGGTGAAAATGTTAGGAGTCGATTAAGTCCTGAAGAACAGCTTATTGTGCACTTAAATTTTGTTTGTGCATGTTTTTAGACAGGTAAATTGAATAATTATTGGGTTTGGTACCCAGTGACTTGCGACACCTCTGCTCGTGAACATACAACCTATCTGGTTTAGATTTATGTTAGGAATGCAACCATCAGGAATTTAAATTCAGGTTCGCATTGCAAAGATATGCACCAAAAGGAGTTGCAATTTTTAAATGTGAAAAAAATTAACAATTTTCCATGCATGTACTTGTCAACAACAACAAAAATCTTTAGAAAGAGATTTTGACACGAGTTGTAATCTGTAATTTGCATGGTATAGTCACTGACTAAATGAAAGGTGTGGTCGGAATGTTTTCTTCAAGATAAAGAAAACATATGTTTAACAGTGTAAATAATTTTCGTAGGTATATGACCTTCCAATATTTTAATTTCAATTTTTAATGGGTTTTGTAAGACAAAGTATGGATAAGGATTTAAGGCTGAAGTTTACTGCTATGACAAACATCTTTTCAGGTTGTTTCATGTTGACTTTTGTGTCGCTTCTCATTCTAGCACTCTTGAGTTTAACAAGATTGATTCAGTTTCTATATCTAATAAAGCTTCAATTTTAAATCACTGGCCCCAAATAATAATTCATGTGATAAGCATCTGGATATTAAATCTTTTGGGGACAAGTAGCCAGTATAAATTCTTTATCTGTATTTCTCATCAGCGAACTTCAAGTAGCCATTTATAAGTGTGTTTTGGGGGATTACACACTCCCTTAAATCATCCAACATTAGAAATATAAGGAGCTCTTCTCAGGTCATAATTGGAGAAGTATTGTGTCCAAGAGCATCTTTGGAATTCAATATGGCAGGTGTGAGGATTTTAATGATTTGGAAACATTGATTTACCATTTCTTTCTAAAATTCATTTTTTTCACCCTTTCAATTCCATATACAGTGGACCCTCATTTATCCGGACGCTTTGGTTCCCAGTCAATTTGTCCGGATATGTGAAGCATCCGGATATCTGAATCACCAGTTAAACAAGACAAAATAACATTTAAAAATTTCGTTCCGATGAAAAATCGTCCGATACTGCATCCGGATATCTGAAGGTCCACTGTATATAGCAAATATGCATGCCCATCCCCCTTGTATTAGTCCTCTGGTAAATGTGAACCGATTGCATTGCACAGGATAAGTACTATTTGCATATATGCATTGAAATGTGACAAAAAAAAATTTCTGCCGCTGTGTATTCGAAAAATATGTAAGCAGTATGGTATGCGTGGGTGTAATTATTATTTTTTTTCTTCTTTTTTCTTTATTTTTCCTCACTCTTTTTCTGCTAAGTTATGTGTTTGCACTTCAGGTGTAAAGTACATTGACTCAAGAAATTGACAAGTAAAGCCTTTGATCTTGCAAAATCGGATGTACAAAAAAGTAATTTACCTTTCAATTTGAAAAAACACAGTTTAATAAGGAACAAAATAAATCACATTTTTTAGGGATCTGATATCGTTAATATGTCACAAAAAGGTCTTTAAATTGCAGTTCCTTTCCAAAGCAAAGAGATGAAAAGACATAAATTGATATAAAATAATCATTTTGTATTCAGTTATACGAGCAGGATTCCACACAAACATTACCTAAACGGAGAACACACCTAAAATTTTTTTTATGAAAAAAAAATATCACAGAAAAGATAAAACGAGGGCAGAGATTTTATGACGACGGTGTAATTTACTTATATTTACTTGTCTGCCTATTAAGTATTTGGAACTGGCCTCATATGCATAATGCAAGTCCCCGGGAAGTTAGGACCGTAAAACTATTTATGTTGTGGTGTGTATTGGCCAGTTGCCTTCAAGAGGAGAAGAAAGCGATGCAGTCTGAATCCTAATTAGGACAGAAACATAAAAGTTCACCTAATATTTAAGGAACATCTGTGACACAGATGTGGTGAAAATTTCTGTTGTATGTGTATACATGTATAGGTATAACTTAGGGAAAATGAACTTGCAGTCAAGCTTAACGAGAAATGGGCCGAATTAGGAATAATGTATGTGTCTCGACATTTAAGACCTTACACAGGGAACTCATGCTGAAAACGATTTCCATTCAGTTTCTGGTGAATTCATCCAGTGGATGATTGCTCAAGAATAAGGTATTGGATGGGTCTTATGTCTGGCCCTGATTGAGAAAAGCTGGAAAAAGGAGGGATTTCTGAATTATCTGATACAAGGATTGCTAGCCTTGATAAACCAACGAGAACAATTGTGCTTACCTACGAGTTGTGATATCATACTGGTTTTGTGTAAGGAATTAGCATACAGAGAACTGGATAAAGGTGCAATCAAGCACAGATATTTATAAAACACACAACCCATCCATCACAAATCTTCCCTTTTATGAATTATTGTGTGGTTTGTGTGTGAAGAGAGACTTAAACCTTTATCCATGTTGTTTTAAAAAAAAAGAAAAGAGAAACGAACAAAATTTACGTGTCCAACACGTTGCACCAGTGATTGGCTTTGAGGAATCCAGGATTTTTAATTCAGAGCATCAGAGACAAACATTTAGGATTTTGTTTTTCCTTTACTTATCCTAACCAGTAAGAGGATTGTGTAAAAGAGAAGTGTTTTCTTAATGACTTTTCCACTTGAAAAACTCAATTAATGATTTTAAATACAGAGGGATTACTAGGAATTGGATAGGGACAGTTTGAATGACCTGAGAATTGGGGACCAGGTAAGACCAAGCTAAAGGAGAACTTATCAGGTGACAAGTCAGACAGCTTTAACAAACAGAGATCTTCATTTTCAAAATTATCGGTGACCAAGAGACCGCTTCAATCTTTGGATTTTACGACTCGAAATTGGAGATCTTTGACACAGGGTACAAGAAAATGGACTCAACATAAGGGATTGGGACAGATAAACGGAATTTAAAAGTCCAGAGGTTCACGGGATTGTGTTTGCGGAATTTCTTCCCGAGTGCATTGAAAAAACATTTGCTGTGACTAGATGACCAAATCACGCATGTAGCCCATTATAGGAGCAGCATTTTAAGGGCTTGGTCAATTGTGTGAAAGAAGTCATTAACTAGAGGAGATATTTATGTACATTTTTAAGCCACTATCTTCAAGAGGCTTCATCAACAACCCATAAAGTGAGACTGGTATTATTGTCACTTTTGTTACGGGGAACAAGGCCATCGGACAGTTGTCTATTTAGCATAAATGAACATTTACTTTTCAGAAAGGACCCCATTCAGGTTTCAGAGAACTTGTTCATGTTTGGTGAATTTGTGTGTAAGTTTGTGGTATTTTGAAAAACTGTTGGGGTTGTATCCGGCTTTTTTCGTGAAAGGCAGTTTATGAATAGACCAGTTGCTGTGATTCTTGCTTTGCATTACTGAATTGGATGAAAAGGTATTTTATCTATCACACATCTCTCAGGGCAGATATAATATTGACTGCACACCAGGCTCTTATAATTTGCATAAAAACGTAAAGTATGTATTGTGTAACGTAACACTGGGTATATACATCTTACTTTGTGTAGGAACTTAAAGTGTTTGCTGAAGCGCAAGAGAAACTTATATATCCTCAGCTCGGGATGTTTAAAAGACTCAGCCATTGTCAAATAGAATCTGGGAGGAATTGATGGTGGAATTTTCTTAACATGCATACACCAGGAAATCTCAGCTAACCTAGTGTTTTTATTATCTTGGGTCATCATCACTGGTCTAAAAGGCCGAACATAAAAGCCACCAGTCCAAAATAGGAGTGAAAAGACAAATAATTTGTCTTTGACCTTAAGTAAGTGATAAAACATAGATACTAAAGGATTGATATCAGATTTGTGTTTTCTTTTGTTGAGTTGGTATGATAGAAGAAGATCAAGTCCAGCCATTGTTCAGGGAGAGAGACTTATCCCAGGTTTTGATATCAAAGAAAATAGTAGTTTAAATCTACACACACAGTACAAGTTTTTTAAGTAGCCAGCTTGACCACCTGATGGTCAGTGAGAGAGAGAGAAGAAAAGCCTGGCCAGCCCTAGGCAGTTGTGAAAAGGAACAATAAGAATTGTTTTGTGGACAAATAAGTCTTACCAAGGGAGTAATTAGCCTGGCCTGACAAAGTGTGAACTGTCTTCAGGAATTCCAGTCTCTGTGCATACCTGGCTTTTATATACAGTGAAGTTAGAGAGGGTGCTGTATGCTTGTCTTGTTTGTTTATAAACTTGACTTGGAGAGATAATAAGGGACTAGTACAGTTCCTGTACAGTATATTTTGTGTGTGGTATATATATACATGTAAAATCTTTGTCAAGGTGTGTTTATTTTGTGAGGATTATTGCACTAAGGTTTTTGTTTGTGGAATTTTTGACAGCAGTGGATCATAATACCATGGGATTCTCAGTGGATTTGACATGATTTTTACTGGTGTGACAACAGAGTTTATAATGATATTTCATGTATATATTCATGTATGTGGACCATGGAGTCACTAGGGGCCTGTGAAGCCCCTGATTTACCCACTCAGCTGAGGACTAGAAACCATGGCTGGTGATATGAAGAAGTTTGTATCCACAGGGACTCTCCACCCCACAGACCTGGAGAGCCCCACCCTCTCACTGCGAAGTGAGCCCCCCAATAAGTCAGACTTGTATCTAAGTTTTGACAGTGATTCAACCTCTATATCCTCGTCGACTGATTTCTTGGATAGTATACAGAGGATTTTCACTCTGGACACACAGAGTTTGAATGACCTGTCCCCATGTTCAGACTCTCCCCGCAGGCTGAATTTCGGGAAAAAGAGAATGGCTCCCCAGCCCCCGGTAAGAAAGAGACAGACTTCAGAGCCCGGGGATGGGGAGGATGACGAAGTGGCCAGGTGCTTGACCAAATCAAGGTCCGAAGAAAGACTGGACACAATCTTATTGAATAAGAATTTAAAATCTAAGGCGTCTGAATGTCCAGCTGTTGTCCCTGCCCAGCGGCCAAATTCAGTTGGACCAAGGTTTAGTTCCAAGAAGATCAAACTCAAAGCTGCCTTCCGCATAGCAGCTTTGCATTCTCCAAATTCCAAGAGAAAGCCCTCAACAAAGAAGTCTAAAAATCAGAGTGACCACTCAGATGCTAAGTCCAGCCGGACTAAAAAGAGCAATCCTGTGGAGCCGCCTGACCTCGATCTGTATATGTATGGATTTGGTTACATTCCCCAGGACCTAGTGGGTCAGGATGCAGAATTCGAGGTATGTGGCACAAGTCCAGCTTTCTTAAGTTATAGGTTCAGAAGGCAGTGGAGTGAAAATTTCTCCTAAACATGTATATATCTAATATACCACTGTAATGCTATGACAGTGTTGTTTTTCTCCACTCTGCTGTAAAGTGTCTACTTGCAGTGGCATCTCAAATGAGACAACAAAAGTTTGATATTTGTTACACCCTGTTTTGTATTAACAGTTGTCTTTTAAAAGAATTTGAAACCTTCAATTTTTTTTTCAAACATGATACCTATGAGAAATCTTCTCTGTTTATTTGATAGCTATAATGAGAATCTCTGACCTGTTTGTAAGTTTCAAAACAATGTTTTCAAAAAGCAACGTGTTGCTATAGTGTTTATATTTTGAATAATTCAAATTTCTAAGTCAGAATTGGACACTTGACACTTGGTAATATATCTTTTCAGTTGATATGTATAGTACATATACAAGGTCTTGAATATTTTTAAATTCCTAAGTCCTCAGATCTTGGGAACTCCACCTAACTTGATGTATGGGAGAATACTAAAGATGGAAAGGGGACAAACACTTAAAATAATGATAACTTGCATATTTTTCTAATAGTAGGCCCCCCTAATGACACACAGAGTATTCATCACTATTTTTGGAGAAATATATTAATTTTGAATGTGTCCAAAATCCAGTGAATTCAACTTTTGTTGTAGGCACATGAAGAGAGAGAGGTGGGGGGGGGGGATCATAGCAAACATGCATCAATTGGAAGTGTTATTCTGTAGCTAGTACATTTAATCAACCAGAGGTAATTGTTGCAGAATCAACCAGAAGTTGCTTGATTTTCAAAATGTATTCATGCATTGTCAAAATTATAATGTGCCTATGTAAAAACAGAGATACAAGGTTATATGCAAATTTTGGATATTTAGGTTAATGGTATTTACAGTTAAAGATTTTTAACATTAAACTAATAATTACTTTTCTTGATGTTTTAAGGTGTGTACAAGAAAAAAAGACAGTAAACTGTTAATGGGTAATTCTAGTAAGTTTTCAGTCATAACTAAAGCACTTCAACACTATCAAACCATACTATCAATATTGAAAAAAAAAATAGGTGATTGAGAATTATTTAAAGTGCCCAATTACGTCTAGGTCTGTGGTTTATTTTCCTTTGAACTGAATTGTATCTCATCATAATTTAAGTAGTTTGATAAAACTTTAGAATGAAGTAGGGACAGTGTGTTCGATATCAATTATTTTAAACAGGCAGTGATCAACTTCAAACAGAAAGTTTTTGTTCTTATCAATAGTTTTATTATTCCTCCTTAATACCAAGGCAATTAGTCTGACAATACTCTGTAGGGTAATTAAGACTTTAATTTATATGTTAAAAGTTTAAAACTCTCTTTAAAAACACTTTAATTGCACTCAAAAAATGCCAGACCCATTGAGATGATTTTGAAGTAGGTCTTTTATAGTATATGGTTAGACAATATGAAAGTTGCCAAATGAATAAGAATATAAATCAATAATGGAATTATATTTTCATTCATGAAGAGTAAAGAGGTTGGCCAAGGAGAAGTGCTGTCCCTATTGTTGTTTATAGTTTACCACTACCAATTATAAGATAGCATCTAATTTTACCACCATCATTAGAGGCTCTTAATGCAGGAGGAGGATCATATTACTCCATAGAAATCTACTCAATAATTCAACGAATAAAAAAGACCTTAATCCTATACAAACTCGGGTCAGTTTTCTAATAACCACCTTCTCAGTGTTACCACTATATTTGGAAACAGCTGCTTCTAATTTTTCAATACTGTTGTTTAGTTTCATTGATGCCTTAATTTTTCTTTCATTCTAGTTGTTTGCTATTAAAACTCTTGATTGTGATTGTTATGATATATTTATTAGAAATTATAGGGTTTTGTCAAACATGTCAAATATGTGAAGCATATATTGCTGCAGATTTGTTGTTCATCATTAAATTTATAGTAAGAAAATCCATGAACTGTGGTGATTTGTGGAAAAGAAATTTTCAAGTCATTAATTATGCTGACAAAAAAAATGACCTTATTAGGAATTTTAATTCTTTAGAACAGTGTAACCTTCTTGGGACACCTCCTTACCATCATGGATATAATATTTAGTAGTAATAAGAATGAGGAGTTCTTTTGAAAGAAAAATATTGAAAAAATAAAGAGATGAAAGACAATACATGTAATTATATGAACAGATTTGGCAGCATGAAAATTAAGGACACATATGCTACAAATAGAAAATATCATGCATAGATCACTACATCATATGAATATTAACAAACAGGACCTAGCTGTAAAATGAGCTTCTATAATGTAAGGTAAAACTTTGAATTTGTACTTTTAATTGTTATTTCGAATACCAAGGAAGTATCTGAAAGGGTTTGCATGTGTAGAAAATAAACTAACAAAACAGGGGTTCATTAGCCTCTAAATGTTAAAAACATATATATAACTGTTAATATTAAATTGTACTCAAGTCGAAATAATAAGAATTAATTAATCTATTATCATATGAATATAAATAGCAATTTGTTTTTCACAATTTGCTTTGATTTGTCATCAAAAACTTACTTGAAAATTGGAACAGGTATTATAGAGATTTAAACATGTCATTTTCCTTTTGGTATATGAAAAATGTCATCTTTTTATTTCTCTAAGTGCGGAAGGAATGATGATAAATAATATATCACAGGAGATTTAATCATATTTCATGTGTTTTATGACACAGATTTATATCCAAACAAAAAATGATAAATTATCAGATAGGAACATTAGTTTTAATGTTTTATCAATATCTTACTTAGATTATGCAGAGAGAGTCTTGACGATAATTGCATGTAAATGGTTATGATGTTAACATTTTAATAATAGACGTACAGTGTTGCATATTTTTATCTCTTAGATTTTGTGCTTTTACGTTATCAAAAAATGGTAGATAAAGTGCTTTTCTCTTATAAAGCTTAATTATTGAAGAAAAAAAAATAAACGAGAACGAATTTCTAGCAACGTATAAGGAGTGCATGCATATGCTGTTATTTCCGTTTCCTGGTATTGATTTGAAATTGATGTCTATCATGATTTTGTATTGACCTTCTGACCTCACAACATAATGTATTCACAAGTAAAACTCACCTTGAAACCACAGTTATAATTATTCGTGTGTTTTCGAAATGATTCAGAATGAGATAAAAATTAATGAGAGTGCTGTAATTTAATACAGATAGTAAATTTTTTTTCGGAAATGAAGACTAAATATCTGATTGAAAATCTGGACCTAAGGCTTAGATGTTTAATGATTTATATATTTTTTTGAAATGTCTGAAAATATATTTTGATAAAGGGTTGTTAAACCTAAAGATTGTTAAACCAGCTGTAAATGAAATTCAGAAAATACCAAGTTATGTACCGCAACTAAAAAGGACAATGCATTGCATATGAAATGAGCGGATACAGGGCCATTAAAAATATAATTTTTCCCAATATCCATTTAGTAAATTTTACGTCAAAGAACATATGACTTTGCCCCCTGCATGGATGAACATGTTTACTAATGATAGCGGGTGCAGAATGGGAGTATTAAGGAAGATTTACAAAGAGCAATACACATTAAGTCAATATTGACTTTCTGAGGAGGCTTCATTGAGAAATCTTGTTGTCAAGACCTGTTTAAAAACTTTTGTCACATAATAAGCGGAACTTTAACGACAAGAATGCAGGTTGATTTCACATTACCTGTATTTCATATAGTGAACTGGAAGAAGAGTTAGCTCCCTTTGAGCATATTCTTCCCTCTCTCTCTAATTTCTCTCTGACTTATAAGTGCAATTTCTTGTCCTTGATGTTTGATGTGTATTGGAATCTGCTTGTGTCACCTGCAATCTAAGTTGATTTGTGTGATGAATGCATAAACTCCTAGTACGATTTATTTACAAAGCGACATCCTTCACAGTTCTTCTTTGAAGTGGTCAATTTTTTTTGGTTTGTCTCTTTGAAAAATGAGGGGAAACTCCTTGAAATTTGTCTCCATATTCAAGAGTCTTTAGATCCTTAACTCCTACACATTCTTAATGAATTACATTATTGAAATTAAGTTCAAATTAATTAGTTCTCCCTAAATTTGTCTATTAAAATACTCTTTCATTTAATAAAACTTAATTGTGGAAATCTTGCGTGATGAATTTGAATCTTGAATTTATTATTTATTAGCATAAGCAGTGTGCAGCATTAAAATATCTTTTTTATTCACAGAAAAATCTTTGCACAAAATATTAATTAACGTAAGCAGCATTTAATATTTCTTTGTTTCAAGTATTGAGAAAAAGTAAAATCTATGAAATGTTGGCTCAGATCAAAATTGACTGAAAATAATGGATATATCCTTTATAGACTATATAAGGTGAATTTAAGTGAACACATTGTAGATTATCCTAGCCTTAATCAATGCGTCTTGTCCTATACCTGCCTTTATCACCTGTATCTACCCAGCTGGAAGGTCATGTACAAAATGTCTTCAATTATGTGTTGCTTTTATCGGATGTGTTACTAATGACAAATTTCCGAACCCACTCTTCCAAAGGTTTGCAAAATGTAAGACCGCTTTTTTTCCGTTTTTCATTTCTTAATTAAACTGAACACCTGATAATGAGATGTGGAAGTCTAGGGGTTCCTAACCCCTTTTTGATTGTTTGTTAAAGTGCAAGGTTTGTTTAAAAGGGATTGCCCTTAAATGTTTATGTTGTGACAGAGTGAGAAGGGAAATTGCTGCGTTGGACTCCCGTGTTTGGGCATCGGTGTAAATTTTAGGGCAAAGGTAAGCATTATTTAAGCTTTGCAACATTTTGATATCGTCTTTGATCTGCATATCATGTCGAAGTTGACGTAGAATTGTAGATTATGAGGATGATGGTTTTAAGTTTTTGAGTGATATGTTTTTACAATTGAGGTGTCTATCCGTAATCTATCAAAGTCCCT